TCGGTCACTTTATGGTCTAAAGCAGTCTCCTCGAGCCTGGTTTGGTAAGTTCAGCACGGTTATTCAGGAGTTTGGCATGATTCGTAGTGAAGCTGATTACTCTGTGTTTTATCGGCACTCTACTTCAAGTCTATGTATTTATCTGGTAGTCTATGTTGATGATATTGTTATTACTGGCGATGATCAGGATGGTATTACCAATCTGAAGCAGCATCTCTTCCAGCACTTCCAAACTAAGGATCTAGGCAGATTGAAGTACTTTCTAGGTATTGAGGTTGCCCAGTCTAGCTCAGGTATTGTTATTTCTCAAAGAAAATATGCTTTAGACATTCTTGAGGAGACGGGGATGATAGGTTGCAGACATGTTGACACTCCGATGGATCCGAATTCTAAACTTATGCCAGGACAGGGGGAGCCGCTTAGCGATCCTGCAAGCTATAGGCGGCTGGTTGGAAAATTAAATTATCTCACAGTGACTAGACCCGACATTTCTTATCCTGTGAGTGTTGTAAGTCAGTTTATGAATTCTCCCTGTGATAGTCATTGGGATGCAGTTGTCCGCATTATTCGATATATAAAATCGGCTCCGGGCAAAGGGTTACTCTTTGAGGATCGAGGTCATGAGCAGATCATTGGATACTCAGATGCTGATTGGGCAGGATCACCTTCTGATAGACGTTCTACGTCTGGATATTGTGTTTTAGTAGGAGGAAATTTGGTGTCCTGGAAGAGCAAGAAACAGAATGTAGTTGCTCGGTCTAGTGCAGAAGCAGAATATCGAGCAATGGCTATGGCAACATGTGAGCTAGTCTGGACCAAACAATTGCTCAAGGAGTTGAAATTTGGTGAAATCAGTCGGATGGAACTTGTGTGCGATAATCAAGCTGCCCTTCATATTGCATCAAATCCGGTGTTCCATGAGAGAACTAAACACATTGAGATTGATTGTCACTTCGTCAGAGAAAAGATACTTTCAGGAGAGATTGCTACAAAGTTTGTGAGGTCGAATGATCAACTTGCAGATATTTTCACCAAGTCTCTCACTGGTCCTCGTATTGGTTATATATGTAACAAGCTCGGTACATATGATTTGTATGCACCTGCTTGAGGGGGAGTGTTAGTTTACAGTATGTATATAATGTAATATTGTCCCACATTGGTAGAAGAGTAGTATGTCCTTGTATAGTATAGCTATAAATAAGGACCTCTTGTATTGTATTGTTCATCTAATATCAATAACATATTTTCTCCCGTGCCTTCTCACAGGTTCAATGGAGTTTACTCATGTGAGACCATGCCTTTAACATGATTTAACTTCTTTACTCGATTTAATGCTAGAATTCTTCCCATAAAATGACTGAAAAGTCGTCAAGCAAAGTAGAAATACATGAAAATTATGATTAAGATTCATTGTAGACAAGGTGTCTCTTCTCTTCGTGATACAATAGTATATCTCCAGGTGTTTATCAAAATATACATGTTCATTGCCTAGAATCTTGTCAGATGGTTGTTATTTTTACTACTATCAGTTTGTTATTCTAGTGCTCAGTCCTAGGCAGCATTGCTGTTCAGGTTCATATAAGTCACATCTTTACGATTTTATATGATGCCTGGCAGGTTGGCACTACAGATGCTTTAGCCTTTTTTTTGCCTGGAGTTGTTAGTCAAATTGGCAAAGTTTTGCATATGTCGAAAACATTCATTAGTGGGGCTGCTGGGAATGCAGAAGCTTTGGACCAAGCGATTAGAAGCTTGGCAGAATTTCTTATGATAGTTCTCGATGACAATTCTAACTTGCCTTTTCTTGATCCGTCCCTTGATGATGTCAAGAAAGAGAAATCACCAGTGGCGTTTCTGGAAGCACTTCGTCATTTGCTCTCTACTATGCATGATCAAAATTTGAGTGAGGCTGTTGACAGAGGCACCCTTGTACTTAGCTCTACAGAGAGGGAAAGTGTCAGTCCTAGAAACGTGAATGGATCTTTGCGTGTAATTCGTACAAAAGACTGGATTGTTGATACCTCGTCGCATGTTGATAAGCTGTTATGCGCAACTTATCCCCATGTAGGTTATAACAAGTTTCTCAGTGGCACTTGAGTTTAGAAGATTTTTTATCAAGTCAATTTCAATTGATAGTTCCATGTTTTTTGCCAAACAGTTTAAATTAATAATTGCATTTGTGTTCTCAGCTTTGCATGCATCCAAGCAGAAAAGTAAGACAAGGACTCTTGGCGGCAATACAGGGACTCTTATTAAAAACCAGTTGTGTGTTGAAGGGAAGCAGATTGATACTTTTGGTGAGGTCCAAACTGGAACTTATATCCTATAATATTTGTATATCTAATAGTTAATGTACAATGGGAGTTGATCAGCCCAAGAAAGATATCCCTTTCATAACAAGTTTCCTTTTCTCTTTCCTTATTCGTCTTTTTTTTTTTTTTTTTTTTTTTTTTTTTTTTTTTTAAGTGTCGGACACTAAGATGCTCTATGTGTGCTTGAACTCTCAGAGTAGCATTGATTTTGAATTGTAGCTTAAATAGTGGGTCAATGTAGGTAGAGAGATCTCCTTTTGATAAGTTCAACATTTATGAAAATAGACATGGGATCAATGGGCTTTCGAGTAGTGAAGGGCAAACATCCCTCTTAAGAGAAGTATACCATTTTCAAACAGAACAACAAAAGGAAATTAAGACTGTCCGTTTTGGGATTGAGGGAGTCAAAAGTTATTGTGCCTATGGTAGTGCTTTTTGCATTTTCATCAGCTAACTTTAACCTATTCTAAAGTTGGTCCTAGAATCTGGAAGTTTTTTTAAATTGCAGTTGCTCTAGCCAAGACTCGGGTGAGGAAAGTTGTGTGTGTGTGTTGGG